AATTTGTGAGAAGTCTCTTATATTATTTTGATATGTATTTTTGAGATGTTACAAATTTTATATTGGAAATAGTTTATTTTCCGGCAGAAACATAAATAACAACACACTATACTCTGTATCCATCTTCAAGGGTCATTGGATTCTATATATTATTTAGTTTTATTGATGAAGACATGTTCTTTTTTAGGTTGTTTTTTTATTCACGTCTGCTTGAATATGATTTAATATTAATGAAACATTTTCTTTCCCGTGAACTTCAATAACCTTGACTCTTGACTTTACTTACAAAATAGTAAAAGTACTATAACGAAATGGAATATATAGTCTTTATTTATTCTGTATAATCTTAGAGAATAATTCTAAGATACAGAAGATCAAATATATGTTTGGAATAGAAATTATGTATTAAATGAAATTTATTTTTCGAACCGAGTTTAACGAAAACATCACTTTTCAAGATAAAGATAAAAGTATATTATAGCTCAATTTAAAACCAAGCTCAACTAAAATTTATGTTAGAAATGTATGAATTAAAAATAAAAAAAATTAGTGATATAAAAAAAAAAACGATACCTCACCCAAAAATCTAAGTATTTTCTATGGCAAAAAAAAAGTGAGTTGAGACAATCTTTTCAGTTTATCAATTCGACACAACTCATTTCGCTTAGTCTGACAAGTTAGCTCGATAATATGATATTATTAAAAAAAACTAAATGTAAACAACTTGTCTTTGCTCAACCTAACAATTCGACATTACTAAAAGAACTTAAATGTAAGAAACTCGTCTATCACCTTTTAATTACACTGAATAAAAACAAAAAGAAGTTAAATAATATATTAATAAAAAAATCTCATAAACATTAAATTTGAATAATTTGAACGTGGTGTCCATGTCTTATACTAACTCATTCTAATAAATGAACAATTTTCTTTTCCTGTTAAAAGATAAAAATTCAATAAAAATAACTGCTTAAATTGTTTTCAGAATACAAAAGAACAGCATGGTTGGCAATGACAGCAAGCAAATATTGTTTCATACATTAACCCTGTCATTCAAGGTTTTGACTGAGTTTGAATATTTGTCACAGCTAACCCAAGACACTTAAATATGAATTGAATGTTTACAAAATTGCTAAACCTGTTAAGGAATTGAGCCACATATATATCTATATTCTCTGTCAGACTGTCACTTAGCCAGAGAGGAACATTGAACATTCTTAGTTTTCCTCATTCTTCGAGATACCTTTATGCAATATTCAATTCCTGCATTGAAAGCTTTGCTTTTCATCACTTGACCTTGTTTTAACTCACTTTTGGTCGGCACAGTTTAATCAAAACAAATAAGTTCAAATATTTTAAACCCATTCACTTGCACGCAACAGACTTTCTAAAAATAAAATAAAAAAGCACCAACCTGATCTGATTTCATATAAAAAACAATCAATGGGTGAAACCCAAATGAAAGTTCTCCCTTAATCTAGAAGGTGGAATCATAGACCGTGAAACAAGATCATTGTTGAGTGAGTACTAGGGTTGGAAAACGACCACATAGTAAAAAATCAAACAAATTTTAATAAAATAAAACGAAACGCCGTCATTTTAGAACAACATAGAGAGTGAGCCACCACCTAATGAAAACGAAAGAGAACCCTTCAACCATACACGTACGTAGTAGCTAAGTAGCAGTAAGTGACATATCATACCCATGAGTCATGAGTGGTGTCCCACATTACCATTTTCTACACTCATTCAACCATTTTTCCAAATTTGTCATCTTCCTCGAACATTAAATAATGCATAACCCTGCTTCTGGGAAGCCTCAGCTCTTACCATTCATCATTGCCAAGTTCAAATTGTTGCCTATAAAAGCCACCATCATGTTAATAACACTTCACCTCACCATATACATCGTATATACATATATTATATACATATATTTATACGTACGTTTACATTAATACATGGGGAAACTGAGATACGATCCGAATTCCTACCAGCAGAGCAAGGAGTGCAGCAGCAGCGGCATAAAGATGATGCATAAAACTCCAAAGAAAACAGTGAAAATAACCTACATATCGAGCCCTGTGTTGGTTAGGGCCTGCGATGCTTCTGAGTTTCGGTCGGTGGTTCAACAACTCACGGGCAAAGACTCCAACAACGTTGGACATGGTTCTACTTTGATGCATGGTGAAAGGGTCATTCAAGGTGTACGTGGAAGTGAAGATGGTGATCAGTTTCATCATTACAACACCAACAGATCAATGGTGATGAGTAGTTCTGTGGAGTTGGATGAAGAGTATTTCTGGAAAGAACTTTCACACTTTGCTCTTCCATCACCCTGTGTACTTGCATGATACGTATTCATTACGTATATGAATACGTATTTTATGGAACTAATAATCGAGCACTGATTGCTACTGTCTTTTCAATTGCAGCAACCCTTTCTCATCAGTTCTCTCATTTTTTTGCCATTTACTTTCCAAATCACTGTTTTGTAAAGCTTAACGTATATGTGTGAAGAAGAATTATGAAGAAGAATCTGAAGCTGTGAGATTGAAGTTGTAAAAAAGTTACTTTCTAAGAATATTTATTTTCTAAAACATTCTAATATAATACTCTACAATCTATCCTATTAATGAATTTATAATAACTGTTAAAATTCATATTCATTATTTTTAATATAACAAGGTATAACAAATTTAACTCAGAAAATTGATATTCTATTTCAAAAAATTTAATTATTTTATGATACACTTATCTGATCTCATTAAATATTTCTTAAGTTTTTTTACTAGATGTTTTTAGTATTCTTATAATCACCTCAGGTTGAGTAAATAATTGTTAAAACCAATATTTAGCCCATTGAGATTAACGTAAACAGGAGTTGTCTACAAACCAATCTCAACCTATAAGTTTTATATTATTGCAGAGATTCGTCTTCATATTTTGTGAACTCATAATATTTTTTTTTCTCAGCAGAACTCATAATAAAATAACAGATATAAATATCTTACATATATTAATTTTAAATTTTAATATCTAGACACGTATTTTTAAAAAGTATACAAATAACATTTTTAAAATTAAAAGATAATATTAAATATTTTGTCATATAAAATGTAATTTTAATATAACAAAAGTAAACATTATCTTAGGTCTAATTCATTCATGGCTCAATTTCAGCATCTCTAGACGATCTCATAACAATGCATACTCCAATTTAAAGGAAGAAAAATAATAATGTGATCACTATTTTGTTATATATGTAAACAATTGATTTTTTTTATAGTAAAAATCAATAATATAAAGTTAGTAGGAGACAATTTAAAAATTGAAAAGAGAATTAAGCCCTTTCTTGCGTCTATGAAACCTTTTTTTTTCTTTTTCTAATTTTACTTTTGGTAAAGTAAGGAATAGAAGCTAATTTAATTTTGGTAAAGTAAAGGAATAGAAGCCCAATACACCAAAACCTTCTCCTAAAACAAACCAAACATTCTTCTCCTATTATAGTTTTTGTCACTTTTTTTTGTATAAAATTTAAGATAGGTATCAATATTACTTTGACATATACCTAAAAAGATATCTATTATTTATCATGACATAAAAATTGAGTAAATAAAAAAAAATGAAAAACCAAAACATATATCCATGTAAAGTAAACAAAACAAACTTTTCATAATGCCTATATAAATTTAAATATGGGAAGGAAAAAATAAAAAAAAAATTGTCAAATACAAATTTTAAAATAAAATGACAAATCTCATTATGAAAAAAAAATATAAGTTTATTATAAAAATTAAAATCGAGTATCATACAAAGACACTCTCCATTTTCCAAACCTAAAGCAACCAATTATGGATTGAAAGTATAATAATTAATTTTCTTTTAGAGTATTTATATTTTTACCAAACCTATTATCAAATTGTTAAGTAACTATTAGCTATGACAAGTTTACTTTGAGAATTTTACTCAATGTTATTTGATTCCACAACACAGCTACACTGTAAAATTTAAGAGGAAAACTATATGAAGTTACATGTTATAGTATAATTCCCTTTTTTCAATTATAACTCTTGATTTTTAAAATCAACCAAATTTACTAAGGGAAAACATCTTAAATATTTTTATCTTTCCAAATTAAAGTTTTTTTTTTTCAAAATCACACATAATTGTTCCACTTTATCTAATTATTTCAAATTTTATTTTTAGATAAATTATCATTCCAAGATTAGATGTAGCTATGATCTTCACAAATTTCTTAATTGAATTTAATACAATATTTAATTGAATTTATGTTTTTGATATTTGTGTTATTTTATGTTTTATCAGTGAAAGTTTAAACTATCGTAATAAATTCAATGAAAAATATATCAGAACATAAAATTAAAATAATTAAACCTTAAAATATACAATCAAACTGAAGTTAATCAGAACAATCGAGGGTAGGTAAAAGAAGTCTATTAACTAATGATTTTCTACTAAATTTTATTTTTTTAAAAAAGACTATTTATGTAAAAGTAAATCTACTTTGTGCTGCACAATGTATCTTAGATTTAACTCAACTTAATTCATTAGTGATACAAATTCAAGTAACTTGCACATAGAATCTAGATTCAGATTTCATTCCTATAATTGACATTGAGCTGGATGACATATATGTCAACCAATTCAAGAAAAAAATTTAATTAAAGTTGTTAGAGAAATGATTGTTCTAATATTATTTGAGATATAATCTATTTATACTCTATTTAATAAACAAAAAGTTAACACCAAAAGCATTGTTCTCAATCTCTTGACTAATTGAAAAAATAATTTTATATGAAAAGTGAAATTAATTGTCATAAACGTACAATCTACTTTTTATTTAAATTTTTATACTATGACTTTGAATTATAGTATATTTAAGAGTTTAAAAATTATAAGTATCTACAAGGAAATCTTTATGGAGTGATGCAGGGAGATAGAAAGTAGTACTAAAAATGTGAAGCAGAATCTAAACTGATAAAACCAACAGCTTTTGAACTTCACATGGACCAACCATGCTATGTGACCACAGATGTAAGCAGAAAATGTGCTAATTTGTGTAGAAAGATCAAGGCAATGGTTTGCCTCAAGCAATACTACAACATAAACCAACATTATATAATAAGCAGACAAGTTTTGCACTTAGCTACTTAACCTTGGTGTCATTGCCTAATTCTCCTAACTATAATTAACTAACCAAAAGTTTGCAGTAATTTTGACATTTTTGGGGTGTCTAGTTTCCATCTTCAGCAGACTTCAGGTAAAGGCTTTCACCTCCTTCACCTGAGCTTCCCCCTCTGCCATCACCTGAGCCACCGATATCCTGCTTGCCACTTCCACCGAGCATGCTTCTTCCATGCAAACCCTCTCCGGTGGAGCCGCGGACAAAGTCAGGAAACCCTCCAGAACCTCCTAATGTTGAACTGCCAGATCCCACATTCACATTGCTCCCTTCACTTTGCAGCATGTGCAGTCCTGAACTTCCCCCCAGTTGGCTATGCATCACTTGCTGCTGTTGAAGTGCTGAGTATGGCTGCTGGGCGTACAAATGGGAGGAGCGTGCAGCCATTAGCTGCTGTGGTGTCATCTGCTGAGCTTGTTGAGCCTGCATGTAGTGTGCTCCCTGCTGCATCATCCCACCAGGAGGGTACTGCATCATCAAATCCATACATTAGTAGGGGGAAAATCATGAGCTGCTTGGGAAAGACTGGAAGATTGAGACAATGTTTAGATAAAAGTTGAAAAATTACTTTCTGTGGATTTTAGTACTACAAATGAAGAATGAAGAAATTGTTAGTTTGAGAGGAAAAGGAAAAGGAAATGTTTAACATGTTACGAGTGCAAAACTTAATAAGGCATTATGTACCTGACCAGGCATGGTGGGTGGTTGGGGCTGAGAATCTGCTATTGCTGCCAAGTACATTAGATTTCTCTGTAGCCTTGCTTGATTCCTGCAAAAATTTGAGAATAAACTTATACCTCTAAGATCAACTTCAAAAGTTAGATCATTGTGGAATTCTTAACATCCCCTCATGCCTAGTTAGTACTGAACATCTCTGAATGAAATATATATAACACCAAGAGTAGACTAGACTTTGATATGATAAGGAAATTGAGAACAAAATTGGCTCAATTCAACTTTAGAAGCTAGTTTTGAAAGGGAAATTTTCTTGAGTGATTATAAGTACTGTTCAACTTCAAGAAGTATTTCAATAGCTTAAGTAACTAGATAAATCTGCAGTGACTTTATATTACATCTAACACAACCTATACTTTAAAAAATAGAAAATGCACAGTTGCACTTGTCCTTCTATCTTGCATTGAAAGCTTAATTTAAATGCAGAATTGCACTAGCAGTCTAGATGTTGAGGAGAAAACCCTTAATTTTCTCTCTATGTATAGCTGAACAATCCGAAGTTTGATTTCCACAAGAAACATTTCAGTTAATTCAGCCATACATTATTAGTTCCAACTGCATCCAACAACCAAACTTCATTTCATTAAATGAAGGCAGCTACACATTGAAAAATGACATCATTAGACTATCCATCCAAAACCAAAACATCCATGGAAGAATGATTTTTTCAATGATCTCCTGTTGTCTTCACTTCAAAAATCATATAATTGGACTGACCAGTTGACAGAAATGAATTTTCAGAAATATAAAATTTACATTAGAATCAATGGAGGTGTCCCAAAAAAGTTATTTTCTGTACTACAGAAATCTGTGAGAACCAGTGAAGTTATTGGAGAGAGGATAAAGAAGAATAATCCAGAGAAACAACATTAAATCAGAAGAGTTCATTCATGTGGGGAATATAGAAAGTGAGAATTTTAGGCAACTTCTCTTTCATATTGAATATAAGAACTAAAAGCATCCACACAGTGAATATCTTACAGAAAAATTAGCCAAAAAGATCTGTCACAAGATATAATCAAACAAGATAACCGGTAAGACAAGTGACATTACAAGAAACTACATTGGAGATGTATAACTTTTGACTTCTAATCTGTTTGGGATGTGAAAAAACCACATTTAGCATGTGGAGCTAAACACACTAAAAGACATTATTACCTAGCATTAAATTGAGAAATCAGAAACACAAAATTCTTTTCAAATGTAAAAGGATAATTAATTAGTATAATTCTTACTCGGCACACTCGCTCAGCTTGCCAGAATTCTGGCTTTCAACAATCTTCAGGATTAAGGACTTGTTCTCATCCAGGTACTGCTTGTAAAATAATGGGGGTTAAAGGTCAATCGAATGATCAACATCATAATAGTATCATATAACTGTTGCTGAAAATAATCAAGTAAATGGGAAGGAGAACAACAAAAGTTATAAAACCTCCTTGCTGTTACTGAACTTTCTGAAGAAAATACCATATGATAGCACGTATATTTAAGAAGGTTAGAAAACAATGAAGAGTGTTTACTCAAGTTGATCAGATATAGTAAATATATACCAAGCCATGAATAGTATATGAATTTATATCTTATACTTTGATCTCAGTCTGTCTGCCTTAATTTCTTAATTCTCCTACCATTTGGGTATGTAACTAGAACTGCACCACATTAATCAAACCGAATCCTTGAATCAAACATTTCTAACAAAATAACATTTAAGGTAAAAGTTCCCTATGATAAAAGTTGTTACCTTGATGAAATCCCAAACCAAACACGAGTGCAGGCATGTTATCAAAATCTAATATAAGAAAAAGATGTGTACAGTTGAAAGAGTTATACATGTAATTTCAGGTTATTCGAAGGATTAACAGCAAGTGTGAAAGAGGGATGGAAGTAGCACAAACAAACACTGAAGGGTGGGTCAGAGAGCGCATACAGTCAAAGCATGAGCATTAAAAGAGGGGGAAGGAGGTGTTGGTGGAGTGAAGGAATGGCACATACAAACATAGGAAATTGAGAGGGAGAGATAATATGATCTGAAAGGTTACAGAAAATGTGATCTGAGCGGTGAGAAAAAAGCAGAAGCAGGCGTCATAAAAGCTCTGATCGAGCACAGCAATGTACACAGAATATTTATACAGATGCAAGCAAGAGCGTAAGCGGTAGCAGAAGCTGACAAGTGAAGAAGCAGAATAAGAGAAGGAAGGATGCGAACAGGAAAACTAAAAAGAAAGGGTTCTAAAAGTGGCATACAATACAAGACCCACAAGCAGTGCTGAGACAAAAGGGCCCTGAGCAGAGCGAGAGGGGACATGAATGATGAATGAATGCATATACATATATATACATATATACACATATACATAAAAGAAACATGTTTGTATGTGTATGTATATGTACGATGAGTATGAGTATGAGAGGAGATGGAGAAGGGAGAAGAGTGAAGGACCTGCTGAATGTGATCAGTGGTGACGTTGTTGGGGTAATAGGCTGCCATCAAGGGCTGCATCTGCATCAGGTGCTGCTGCATCTCTCACGCAAGATTATCTGTTTATATATAGTGTATGATATGATGAAATGAATGATATGATATGATATGATGGGAAATTTCTCTCTCTATGTTTTCTCACTTCAAAGGTGAAGGCTGCTGCAGCAAAGGAAGGAAGGAAGAGATGGAAGAAAGAAACAAGAGTTGGGTGTTGTATTTCTCTCTCTCTTTCTTTCTGGGTCTGGTCTGGCTTTCTGTGTGTTCCCACTTTTCCCTTCTCTTGGTGTTGTTGGGTATTACAATGATGCTACCACACGGAAGAAGATATTAGAAAGCGTGAACAGAAAGTGAAAGAGAGAGAAGAGAAAAGAAGACATTGGGGTTGGGGCTATTACTATTTTATTGGTTTTGACTCTTTCTTCCACTATGGGGTCGCTCTCTCTTGAACTGCGTGTTTTGCTGTTCTGTTCTGTTCCTCTTTCTCTGTCTCTCTCTAGATCACGTGACAGATGACGTCAGCGACAAGGAGAACAAATTTGACCAACTATTCTCACACTATTAATTAATGTTCAAATTTATATATACTTACTCTGTTCATTTTTGCATTTCCCGTAATAATGAATTTATAAATTTATGAAAAGAAAAAGAATTTAGGGTAAAAGAGAAAGTATCTGAGAATGGCACATAAACATAAAACATAAAACATGACAATGTCGAGAGGGTGTTGTCCTTGTCCACTTAGGTCTCCCTCTACAAATGTGTTGTTGACGTAGGACTTCTGTAAGAGATTCCGATGCTTCCTTACATTTCTCCACGCGCTATCCTTCACGCGCTATCCTTCACGCGCTCTAATTTTTCCTTCTTAACCTTGATCTTCGTGCAAATCATTGTTGTCCTCTTTTTCAGTTTTTCTTTTATTTTATGCATTTTCTTTTTACTTATTTTTACAATAAATTTCTCTCTCCGCAATGTTTAAAAAATCAATTAAAATTTTAGCATAGTTTAGCAATTAGATGTTAATCTCTTGTTTTCCTTACAAATTTTTCACACAAATTAAGAACGTGTTTATCTTTTTACTTTTAATACAACTTTAATGAATTACTTATTATATCTGATTTTTTTTTCATTTTTATGTGTTTTATTTTTCATTATTTTTATTTTAAGTTTAACTAAGTTTTATTTATTCCACGTTTAATTAACTTTTAATTTTTTTCATAAATATAACTTCTTTTAAATTATCTTTTGTTAATAAATTTATTTATAAGATATGAAAAATTTATATATAACATTATCTTAATAGTGTAAAATTATTAAAATAGAACATACATATATAATAACTTACAAAAAGTCTGAGACTACTAGAATCAAAGATTCTACTATTGAAGAGCAAAATTTTCTATCTTGTTGCTTCTTTCTCTACCGACCGCTGGTTCAACTGAAAAGATGTCTCCTTCCTAAACTCACACCGGTTAAGATGATCATTGCAAAAAGAAAAATACCGCACACACAAACAAACACAAAAGCAAGGGTAAGTTATAATACAAAACAATTAATGATATATAAGAACATTTAAACATTTCACAATGGATACACATATCACAACAAAACAACTAAACATTTTATGTATGACAATACTTTGACTGAACTGTCCGGACTTAGCATGAATGTCGAGCTATGACGGATTGTGCACTTGTGATGGTTACTACTGCTTTGCAAAGCCCTTGCCAATTAGGTTTCACTCTACTACACGCTACAAGGTTAGTCCTCAAACACCCTTTTATCAAATGGAGAAAGGTCCCTCAGGCTCAAACCTCCTCCTACTCTTACCACATGCATCAAACCTCTTTATTTGAGAATGTATAATCATTAAAGTGTTAGGATAACCCTCAAGCTCCCTGCATTCAGATTAACACAGTGGAACCACACCAAGAAGTTCCATGTTGGAACTAACTTTCATAACTTTGAAACCATATATGTATCACTTTACTTTTACAATGCATTTCAACATATGAAAACACTAAGCATGCTTCAAATAACTAGAAACAACCCAACAAGTCATCATAGAACACATAAAACAATTGATGTCCAAGATGCATAGTTGAAACCATAAAGTTTCACAACCTAGCTGTGAATGTTTCCACAACCTATGGATTTGTCTCGAGGGAAGCAAATTGAAAACCAACAAGTTCAATAATTGAGTTGTGGCTTTTTCCACAACATGTGGATTTATTTTAGGAAGTGTGAAATTGAAAACAAAGAAGAACACAACCAGATTATGGATTTTCCCATGTGCAGTGAAAATTTCCAGAGCAGTTAATAACCTTTCATAGATACACTTCAAATCTCAACTTGACATTTCCCCCTTATTCTACTGATTCTTCTGACTTTCTATACCTAGAGAAACATTGAAAAGCACCTTCCTAACTCAGATTAGTTATCTTAATCTCACTTAACAACTTAACACCAATCAAACTCCATTTTATACTTTTCAACATCAATTCTCTGCAACTAACAACTTACACAAGTCTTAATAGACTTAATAACAACCTCCAAAACCTCACATTTGTCTAGACCTTATAAATCAAAATACCACTAGTGAAAATCCCTAAAATGAACTAAAAATCATACAAGACACCTCCAAAATATAATCAACTAATTCTACATCAGAATATTGTTGTCATAACACTCAAACAAATCTTAATCAACCCTTTAGACACGTGTCAAAACACAGTTTAACTAAAAATAACCCTTTCCTTAACTTTTCACCTATCAAAACCCCCTTTTAAGTTATTTCTTTTGCTAAAATGTAAACAAAGCTTTATACAATTTGACAGCTTATACTTCACCCAATTTAACATCTTTAAATTCATCATACACAAACTTTACATCAGAATCACATTGCACCTCACAATTAAATCAATTTTCACATCAACACATTATATACAATCAACTCAACATAATAAATTTCTCAATCCAATACAATTTCACAATTCCATCAATAATTCATCATACAATTAACATTAATTAGAACTCGTCTATCAAACAAATCAAGTAAAACTAGCTTCCCTTACCTTACACTGATGATACAAAACTCTAAGAACACCCTGATTACTTCTCGCACAAGAAATTTCTAGAAACACTACGAATCACCAAATTGAAAAGGAAAAGAGTCCTTAGGACCTTAGATTTACAAAAAAGCTCAAAGAAAAGCACGAGACACACATCCAATGAAAACTTCCATTGACTCGATTAAAGAGAAAATAGCAAAAGGAAGAATAAACTTATTTGCTCTATTGTAGAAATTGATCAAATAAAAATTTAAACCTCATCGTTGTGGTCAATTAAGCACCTCTTGAAGGAGATAACTCAGGATCTAGAAGTCTTAGAGAGAAGGTAGAGAATTCTAGAAAAGTAATTTCCAGAGATGATACATTTTAAAATGATGAAACTCATTTATAACAAAACTATTTATATATAAATCATTTAATATTAAAATAACTAAGTCTTACTATTTTTTTAAACTATTACCACTTATAAAATATCATTTTCTGAGTTTTACATAATAATTGTTTTTATATTATTAAAGATGATGTAACATTATTTGTAATTTTTTACATATTTGTACATTATAAAAAAAACAGCTTACTCAAATTGCAGTTTATTAAAAAAATTAAATTTTTTTAATTGAATTTTTATTAAAAATTATTCTCATATTTGTATCAAAAAGCTTTAAATTTTTAATTAAATTTATAATCACTACTTAAAACATATAAAATACAGCTTAGTTAAATTTTAATTTCTTCATAAAGTTTAATATTTTAGTTAATTTTTTTATTGAAAATTGATTTTATATTAAACATTCAAAAGCTTTATATTTTTTCGTTAAGTCCCTTAAACGACGAGACACTATAATTTTTAACAATAATTAAATAATAAAAATATTAAGAGATTTTAAACTTAATTAAATAATAAATCATAAAAACAAACTAATAGTAACCACATTAAAACTCATTTTATCTACAATAAACTATTACTTATATATTTACTAACACCATATAAATAGTTAATAAAACCGCTATTAACGGTAGAAACATTTATTAATTCATTAAATTTTTAAACATAAATCATATGTTTTATTAATTGAAATAATAAATTATTTATTTATATTTAACAGAAAAGTAATATATTTACCACACAATATATTAATCTACTATTAAATATAAATAAATAATTTATTATTTTAATTAATAAAAAATATGATTTATGTTTAAAAATTTAATGAATTAGTAAATGTTTTTACAATTCATAGCCGTTATACTAATTATAAAGAATTATATATATTTTATTTAAAATGAATATTATATATATGGGTTTGTTAATACGCCTATTTTTTAGTTGGTACATTTTAGTAATGTGTATCGGGTTTTAATAGATAAAAATACCCTTATAGATCATGGAATCTAAGTTTTAAGGTTAAGGGTATTTTAATAATTTTAAATTCTAGAAACTAAAAAAAACCTCAAACCCTTGTTCACCTCCCTCTGTCATCCTATGGTAGCCAGAACTGAAAAAAAATTATTTACATTGATGGTTAAACAATTTCTTACAAAAAATGATTTTATAATGAGTTTTCATTTTATAATTTTTGTCGTATATAATTTTATCTAATTTTCACAAGCATAATGATATATGAAGGAATTGGTAGTTAGCCTGGAGGGGTTTTTTTTAGAGATGATGATTCAACATATGCAGATGATGAAATTATGTTTAACGACAAGTGTTTCTGATTTTTGTTAGTTTTGAGAATGAAAAATTATTAAAATACCCTTAACCTTAAAACTTAGAATCCATGATATATAAGGGTATTTTTGTCTACTAAAATCCGGTACACATTGTTAAAATGTACCAACTGAAAAACAAGCTTACGCGCGTTAGCAAATCCATATATATATATATATATATATATAAAAGTTGAACTTGATTTATAAGTTTCTGGAAATATTTTGGTTTTGTGAAAATTTTTTAACTCTTTTAATTTTTCTGATCAAGATTAATTTGTCATATATAGTAATAACTAATACAATTAATTATTATTCTATGTTCTGTTTTATTTAACCTTTTAGCAAAAGCTTTCAGGAAAATTAAAGACTAGTTAATAAGTATTCAATATTAGGATATTTTTAAATAAATATTTATGATTCATTAAATTTTAAAGATAAGTCTTAATTCGTCTTATTTATTTTCTCTGTTTCTTTTTCTTCTTCATTTGATAGGATGAGTAGTTGTATTTTGTATATTAATAAAAATAATAAAAATATAATAGTAAAATTAATTGATAATAAAGTTAGTTTAATTCATGTACAGTAT